AGAGTGGCATGATCCAATTGAAATACTATGAAGTCCACCATGGCAACACTTGGCTGGCTTGGGAACTCTGCTCTTCAAAAAAATCATAGAAGAAATACTGAATATCTAACCTAATGCAGTGGCAAGGAGCTTGGAGGCGATCAGCATGGTGATTAAATGAGTAGCTTGAAGGAAAGAGGAATGTAGGTTGATTCTCAGATGGCACTTGAATGTTTTGGGGGAATAGCTTGTATGTACTGATAACCAAAATTAGGATTAAAGGACACAGAGCAGGTTTTTAAAAAGAGATGACTTATTCAGCTTTAGAAATTTTGAGTTTGAAAATGTTTGAGCTATCCCTATTGAGAGTTCTACTGGGCACCCAGAAATCCAATGCTGGAGATTATAGCAATAGCCCAAATTGAGATACAAACCTGAAAATAATTACTATGTAGTGAAATTAAGTGGAGTCTAGTAGAGTAACTGTATCAGGTTAAGTAAAAATGGAGCTGAGGACAGAACCCAGACAACTATTAAAGAGTGTAGTAGATAGCATAGTCAAGAAAGAGACTGAGAAGGGCATTGAGAGGCAAAAATCATGTAACATGTGAAGTGTCAGGAAGAAGGAGACTGACAGTTTTAAAGGGAGTGAGACAAGAAGTAATACAAAGAACAAATTTGGCTGTCAATGATTTGGCAACTAGGAAGTTATTGGTGACCGTAGAAAAAGCCATTTTATTGTTATAACTGGGTCAGATATCAAATTGCAAAAGTTAGAAAGTGGATGGAAAATGATGAAAAGGAGACAGAGTCACATACTTCACTGGGAATTGAGGAGCAAAGAGAATATGTAGTTACAGGGCACAGAGTCGAAGAAGGTTTAGATTCATCTTTGCTTATTTATTTTCAGGAAGAATGAAATATGAATGTATTTATAGCATCACAGTCAGTCACTTCACAGGCAGCCTCTAGCTATTGGCTCTATAAATCACATGTAAAGGGGGACCCTCTCAAACCCTGAAGGCTGTGGCGGTTTCTCTCTTGCTTGTTCCACTGGAAACAACCACCTACCAGTACAATAAATTCACCTGTGTGATTTACTTTCTCAATCCAGTGAAAAGTCACATCCTGGGTGATGTTTTATGACACATCAATGTACTTTCACATGGAGGAGAGGTAGGCATGATATTCATCGCCGCCCACAAATACTGGGGACGGTTTTGTCAGAGTGTGTGAAAACTTGCTGGGAGTTTAAGTGGACGTAGCTGGAACTGTTCGCGTGACCCACATCCCAGGGAGTATTGTTAATAATCTACTAGTCGCTGTGTCCTTTCTTCATGCTCTTAGCTGGGGGTAGCACATGACCTTTGTGCTTTTGTGTTAATTTTAAAATTTGAAGTTTCACTGCTCTCTCAAGGAAATTTTTAAATAAATCTGGGTTTTTTTAAATGATCTTTTCCCATCAATAGCTTTCCTCCCAAGGAGCATTCTTATGCAGAAGGGCAACCCACATCTACCATTTTAAGCCAGAAATATTTGGCACACTCTATTTCCAGTGCTACAGAATGGGGAGTATACGTCTATTAAAATTCTTTACTCATTCTTTGCAAGACCAGTTCTACAGCAGAAAACTCATTTTCTGACTGGAATTGTAAACCATATATACATGTTGTCTACATGCTTTAAAACTTTTTTACATATTATACTGCTATATTAAAGGCATCAGCTTTATAAAAAGGAAATTGCTTTGGGGGACAGCATGCTTATTGAAGCTCCAGAGTATTTTCCTTCTCTTTTTTTTCCTGACCTCCCCCAACTCCCAATTTACATTTTCTCTGCACAAATCATTGATCCTAATGTGATGGGAGGAATTGAGGTCAGAAAGCTAATAAATGGCAGGTGTCTTCCTCCATTGCTGTTTTCAGCCATTGTGCATACTACACAGTATTGTGTAATAGACACTGAGTGGCTCTGATATCCCACTGCCTCAAACAAGCCTTAGCTCCACCATTTACTGCTGTGTGACATTTGGCAAGTTACTTGACCTTTCTGTGCTTCAAGCTCCTCCTCCTTAAAGTGCAAGGAATGGTGGTGCCTGCCTCACAAGGTGTTATGAATTTTAAATGAGAGAAATGCAGGTAAACTGCTTGTAACGTGCCTGGCATATGTAAGTACAGCTTAGCTATTATCACTTTTTAAAAGCACAAAAAAGGTACATGGTCTTACTCGGTTGTAGAATGTACTAATATTTTTAATTACTAGAAAATGAGGACTCACGATTGTGATTACATAAATAGGAAAAGGACTGATCTTCAGGAATGAGCAAAGATTTTAAAGCTAAATAAATCTGAATGTGGACTTCCATTCTGCCACTTGGTGCTCTGTAACTAACCTTAGACAGATTGTTTCATCTCTCTGAGCCCCAATTTTCCGAGTGAAAAAGAGAGAATGATAGTTACCTTACGTGTTTCTTATAAAGATGAGAGAATATTGTGAGGGACTCAGAGTATAATAAATACTTAATGAATTTAAGTTTCTTACTATAGTTTTAAATTCTTATTTTATTATAAAGGCAAACCTGCATGCACAAGAAAGTAAAAAGGAAACCAAATACACGTCTAAAGCAAAACACCCCTTTCTTTATTGCTTCCTTGAGTTGTTGGGAAAAGAAAAAAATCCTGAAAGCTTTGAGAAAAGAATGTTTGACTGTTTTTCATTACTGTATAAACCCAAATTTTGGAAGCTTTGTTCATGTTTGTAGCACACAGAGTCATTGAATTACAACATCTTTAGTAGATTTTCTGTTGGATTTGCAGAGAACCCTTAGGTAATATATTTATCAATCCAAAGCAAAAATCCAAAGTAAAAAAAAAAAAAAATCACACATACATAAAATTTATTTCCAAATGTCAACATATTATTTTCTTAAATGATCTGTAAGTCTTCTAAAAGGCTATTTACTTAATTTTGGCAGGATATAGTTCAAACAGTAGAGGCAAATAAGCATGACGTTTGTTTTCAAAGCTCTCCACAGAAAGGGTCTATATTCTCCAACATAGCCAATTTGTAAACCTTATTATTAAAACACTAGAATATCTCCAAAAATTGTTATTACCATTGAATGGATTAGAATTTTGTTTTGCTGAAGGAATAGAAAACTGGCTTAAACGCACGTCAGCTTGTTTTTCTCACATTAAAAGCTATCTGGACAAAGGTGCGGCCAGTATTGGATCAGTAGTTCAATAAATTCAGCCTCAGCATGTCTGTTAATCTTTTAGCCTTTCCCTTGTGATTGTTGCCTAATGGACAAAAGATGACTATAACAAGAGCCAGTATCATGCCCAAGTTGAAGACAGGCAAAAGGAGTGATTGACAATTACAAATGCTTTTCCTTTTCATCAAGAAGGGCAAGTCTTCCTAAAGGCTACAAGAAGACTTATTGACCAGGACTATGCCTCGTGACCACCCCTCTGCAAGGGAAGTGGAAGAAGTATTTAATTGTCCAGCTTCTATAATGGAAATGTCAAGGGAGAAGGGGATGTCAGTGTCTGTTGGAGTTGGTGAATAATGTTTGATACACGATTATCAAGGAACTATTTGTTCTAAAGTCTACAAACCAAGCTAACTAGCCCTGTTGTCTGCTCTAATCTTTACTGCCCTTAGAAAACACTATTTCTAATTCTGCTTTATACACTTGAATATTGACATTAGGTTACTCAACATTATTTCCTAAATAGAATATGTGTATTTCATTAGTGCTAAATTTTATACCAGTTGTAGAATAGTTGTGTTTCCTGTTATCATTTCTACCTGAGCTAAGAATATTTTCTTTGGTAACAATTCTTTATTGCTTGAAATGTGACAGTTTTGCACTACTGAATCCATAAAGACATGTTACAGGTGGGGGGACAAAGCATCTGTTGCTATGATCAAATCCTTAACCTAATGGCTGTTAAATAATTCCCCATACATTCTGAAGTCTTACCTAATTTCAACATGCACCACTTACTTTTCTTCCCCTTTTATGAAACTCCTTAGACAATTCCAATAATTTCGTGACATTCATTCCATCTGGGAACATTGGAGTCACATTTGCTTTGGCTGTTCCCCCCCCTTTCTCATAGGTTGATAATTTTTACCAAGCTACTACCTAATATTAATATATTTCAAAAGTATTATCTCTTAATGAGTGAAGTACTGAGGATGAAATAGTGGCTGTTTTTGGCCCAGGTGTATACACCAAGGAATGTATGGTTTGTAGGTATTACAAAATCATTAATAAATCTAACTAAAACTTGGCCTGCTTTTTACTGCCACCACGTACTGCCAATTCTAAACAATGTACTTGATAAAATACCCTACCTGTTAGGGCAAGTCACCGTGACCCCACCTCTCCACTTTTAGTATGCTCTGCTTTGTAAATTTCAATTTTCCACTTTCAAATAAGTTAATAGTTTAAGACATGCAAACAGTGTCTGAAATATTTTGTATGGGAGAAAATTCAGGGTTTCTTTTCCTGGTTTTATCACCTTGATTACAGTCATGGCATCCCAACTTGAGTAGAAACAAAAGGCGAAAAAAGAAATAGGATTTAAGTACAAATTGGACATAAATATAAAACTGTAATAAAGGTAGAATTTGACTATTTTCTGCAGCATATTTCTGCTTTTAAACTATTGAATACCATTCCTTTCCTAAAAGGAAAAAAAAAATGAAAACCCCAAACTCAAGTTACATTTATTACAGTTTTTCTTATTTCAAAATGGATATCTCAAACTCTGTATTTCTGTTTTGGTTTTGGGCTAAACATAGAATACAAGAAAGGGGCAGCATAAGGTAAATTCATACCATTTGAGGAATTGTATGTAATGAATTTGATTGTATAATAATGTGAAATACTGAATGTTAAGTGCTTGCTAACATTCCAATCTTTGTTTTTCTGTTATATTGAATTAAAACAACAACAACAAGGTGGGAAGAGATAAATTTTTCAAGTTCACTGTGATCCTTTACTTTTTTAGGCATTTTTGGACAGAAACTGGAGGATACTGTTCGTTATGAGAAGAGATACGGAAACCGTCTGGCTCCGATGTTGGTGGAGCAGTGCGTGGACTTTATCCGACAAAGGGGGCTGAAAGAAGAGGGTCTCTTTCGACTGCCAGGCCAGGCTAATCTTGTTAAGGAGCTCCAAGATGCCTTTGACTGTGGGGAGAAGCCATCATTTGACAGGTAGAGTCACAATTTTACTAACCATCTTCACTGAGAAGTTCAGACTGAACTGACAGGATGCAGTGAGCTGAGGAGGCATAACCTTCATTGATGGGTCAACAGTTTGCAACATAGATTATTTGGCTGCAGGAGTTTGCATTGTTTCTATTAAGTTACAAAGTCAAAAATTTGGCACCTTAGATATCGTTCTCTTCCATTCTTTCCATCTTAAAACATTCATTTTTGTTCTTTTTCTTTGGTACTAAAGTAAAACTGTATTAAACTTTTGCACTGGAAAAAGTGAACTTATAAAATAGGATTCTTCTCGTTCAGTTTTTTTAAATTCTTTCCATTAAGGAACAATAAAAGTATTATGAGTAGAGATTGAAATATTTGCAATGTAATTTAAATTTAAAATAAGTATTTCAATAATAACAAAAGCATTATATTTTTAAATATATAACTCTACCTTAATCTAGAATAGTTTTACAGGGAAACAAGGAGAAGTACAGCGTAGTGAAAATAAAAGAATAATGGCAGCCCCAGAAAAGAAAATATAAAGCATTCCTAACCCCACAAATTAAGAGTTAATCATGGCTAATATTTTGTGAATTATCTCCTTCTCTTTACTTTTTAAAAGCTTTGTAGAAAAAGTAAAATTTCATCTTAATATTATCAACATTATATACCAAAAATGTTTCCATATTAATAGTTGGAAAATACCCATTTATTCTAATATATTTTAACTTAACATTTTATCATTAACAACTTCTGTAAGTCTCTTTTTAAATATCTAATATTTCACTCTACAGGTATATTATTCACAACTATTTCAATATTGTTGGACATTTACATTATGACGTTTTCATTATAAATACTATTGTAGTGGATATACATTTGCATAAATACTTTCTATTTTTGGATTACTTAGGATAAATTCTCATCATTGGAATTTTTGGTTAAGAGTAATCCTGATACTTGAAAATTAAAAATAGCCTACTGTCTTAGTCCATTCAGGCTGTCATAACAAAATATTGTAAATGGAGTGGTTTATAAACAAAATTTATTTCTGAAAATTCTGGATTCTGAAAATTCACAGTCAAGGCACTGGCAAATCCATGTCTGATGAGGACTTGATATCAGTTCGTAGATGGTACCTTTTCACTGTGCCCTCAGATGGTGGAAAGTAGAGGGCAGCTCTCTTTGGGGCCTCTTTTTTTAAATTTTATTATACTTTAAGTTCTGGGATACACTTGCAGAACATGCAGGTTTGTTACATAGGAATACACGTGCCCTGGTGGTTTGCTGCACCCATCAACCTGTCATCTACATTGGATATTTCTCCTAATGTTATCCCTCCCCTTGCCCCCGCACCCCCCAACAGGCCCTGGTGTGTGATGTTCCCCTCCCTGTGTCCATGTGTTCTCATTGCACAACTCCCACTTATGAGTGAGAACATGCGGTGTTTGGTTTTCTGTTCCGGTGTTAGTTTGCTGAGAATGATGGTTTCCAGCTTCATCCATGTCACTGTAAAGGACATGGAGTCATCCTTTTTTATGGCTGCATAGTATTCCATGGTGTACATGTGCCACATTTTCTTAATCCAGTCTATCATTGATGGGCATTTGGGTTGGTTCTAAGTCTTTGCTATTGTGAACAGTGCTGCAATAAACATACGTGTGCATGTCTTTATAGGAGAATGATTTATAATGCTTTAGGTATATACCCAGTAATGGGATTGCTGGGTCAAATAGTATTTCTGGTTCTAGATCCTTGAGGAATCACCACACGGTCTTCCACAATGGTTGAGCTAATTTAAATACCCACCAACAGTGTAAAAGTGTTCCTATTTCTCTACATCCTCTCCAGCACCTGTTGTTTCCTGACTTTTTAATGATCGTCATTTTAACTGGCATGAGATGGTATCTCCTTGTGGTTTTGATTTGCATTTCTTTAATGACCAGTGATGACAAGCTTTTTTTCATATGTTTGTTGGCCGCATAAATGTCTTCTTTTGAGAAGTGTCTGTTCATTTCCTTCACCCACTTTTTGATGGGATTGTTTGTTTTTTTCTTGTAAATTTGTTTAAGTTCCTTGTAGATTCTGGATATTAGCCCTTTGTCAGATGGATAGATTTCAAAAATTTTCCCCCATTCTGTAGGATGCCTGTTCACTCTGATGATAGTTCCTTTTGCTGTGCAGAAACTCTTTAGTTTAATTAGATCCCATTTGTCAAATTTGGGTTTTGTTGCCATTGCTGTGGTGTTTTAGTCATGAAGTCTTTGTCTGAGGCCTCTTTTTAAAAAAATGTCTAAACACAAATTCAATGAGTTGCAGATATAAACCCAACTTGTGACCATGGGTAATAACAAAGCACAGTTTAGTTATAATTATGAAAATCATGAAATCAGAATGCAAAAGAAAGCCTTTATAAAGATGAACTTTATGAATGATGACATGAATATCATCATTAAAGATGGCTTAGTTTTCTTTTTTTCTTCTTTTTTTTGTTTTTGTTTTGTTTTGTTTTTGAGATGGAGTTTCGCTCTTGTTGCCCAGGCTGGAGTGCAATGGCACGATCTTGGCTCACCACAACCTCCACCTCCTGGATTCAAGCGATTCCCCTGCCTCAGCCTCCTGAGTAGCTGGGATTGCAGGCATGTGCCAACATGCCTGGCTAATTTTGTATTTTTAGTAGAGACGGGGTTTCTCCATGTCGGTCAGAAGGCAAGGAGGATCAAGTCGCATCTTATGTGGATGTTGGCAGGCAAAAAGAGGGAGCTTATGCAAGGAAACTCTTGTTTTTAAAACCATCAGATCTTGTGAGACTCATTCACTATCATGAGAACAGCCTGGGAAAGACCTGCCCCATGATTCAATCACCTCCCACCAGGGTCCTCCCATGACACGTGGGAATCGTGGGAATTACAATTCAAGATGAGATCTGGGACACAGCCAAACCATATCATATTCCTCCATTTTTAAGGTTTTATTTTTATTTATTTATTTTATTTTATTTTTATTATTATAAATATATGCCTTCTGTTTTACTTTTTCCAATTTTTATTTTAGAATTGCATGCAGGTTTGTTACAAAGGTATACTGTATGATGCTGAGGTTTGGAGCATGAATGAATCCGTAACCCAAGTAGTGAGCATAGTACGCCAATAGGTAGTTTATTTCAACCTTTAGCGCCCTCTCTCCCACTCCTCTCTTGTATTCCCCAGTATCTGTTGTTCCCATTTTTATGTCCATGTTTACCCAATGTTTAGTTCCCACTTATAAGTGAGAACATGGGGTATTTGGTTTTCTGTTTCTTCATTAGTTCACTTAGGATAATGGTTTCCAGCTGCATCTATGTTGCAGCAGAGGACATTATTTCATTCTTTTTGTTGGTTGCATAGTATTCCATGGTATATATGTACCACTTTTGCTTTATCCAGTCCACCATTGATGGGCACTTGGGTTGATTTCATGTCTTTATTATTGTGAATAGCACTGAAATGAACACATGGGTGTATGTGTCTTTTTGGTAGAATAGTTTATTTTCCTTTAGATATACACCTACTAGTAGGACTGCTGGGTTAAATAGTAAGTTCAGCTATCATTTCCTTGAGAAATCTCCAAATTGCTCTCCACAGTGGCTGAACTGATTTACATTCCCATTAACTGATGAAGTGTTCCCTTTTCTCCTTGGCCTCACCAACATCTGTTTTGTTTTGTTTTGTTTTGTTTTGTTTTATTTTGTTTTTTTGGCTTTTTAACAAAAGCTGATTACTGTGAGATGATATTTCATTGTGGTTTTGATTTACATTTCTCTGATTGAGGATGATGAGCATTTTTTTCATATGTTAGTTGGCACCTTGTATGTCTTCTTTTAAGAAGTATCTGTTCATGTCCTTTGCCCCTTTTTTTAATGGTTTATTTGTTTTTTGGTTTTTTTGTTTTGTTTTGTTTTGTTTTGTTTTTTATTTTGCTTGTTGATTTGTTTAAGTTCCTTATAGATTCTGGATATTAGACCTTTGACAGATGCACAGTTTGTGAATATTTTATTCCTTTCTGTAGGTTGTCTGTTTACTCCCTTGATAGTTTCTTTTGCTGTGTAGAAGTTCTCTAGTTTAATTAGGTCTCATTTGTCAATTTTTTTTGTTGCAATTGCTTTTGAAGATTTGGCCATACATTTTTTGCCAAGGTCAGGGATGTCTTTTATAAGAGCATTAATCCTATTCATGAAGGCAGAGCCTTGATCGCCTCCCAAAGGCTCCACCTCCTAATATAATCACAGTGGTGATCAAGTGTCAACATATGAATTTGGGGGAACACAAGCATTCAGACCATAGTACATGCTAAGTGTTATTTCCCTGTGAAAGTGTAGAATTAGTACGTGGATAGACACATGGTGAGTATGCAAACTGTTGTAGTCTTTGTAAAGCAATTTGATAATATATTTCAGGAGCATTCATGCAGGCAATTCCAATCCCAGAAAAAGATTAGATATGTAGAGCAAATGTAAGTGCAAAGTTGTTTATTACAAATAGTGTAGCAATAAAAACTGAACACCAATTTATTATCTCCCTGTGAGTGTGGTTATCAAATAATGGTGCATTCATATAAAGAAAATATTACACAGTTTTAACATTTTAGGACAATTTTAATTACATAATGATAAATGGAAAAATAAAGCAGGATCAATTAATTGATTAAAGCCCTGTCTTTTACAAAGAGTATTACAAATAGTTTATAAGGATTCATAAATTTACTCTGAGAGAAAAAATATAGGTGGAGGTACAGAAATGAATTCAGAATAAGGATCACAGAACAAATTTCAAGACTGCAAATACACTTTTTGCTGAGGAGCCACATCTCTTATTCTATACTTTAAAAAGAAAATCAGATCAATAGTTATATAGGTCAGTCCCACCCACAGCATATAAACAATGACTTATGTAGGAGAAATGTTCATTTTTAGTGCCAAAATTAGCAAGAAATATGTCAGTAGGATCTTCATAATAGAATATTGT